GCGACGAGAAGAAGAGAAGAGGAAGAAGAAGAAGAAGAAGAAGAAGCAGAAGCAGCAGCAGCAGCAGCAGCAGCAGCAGCAGCAACAACAACAACAACAATAACGACAACAACAACCACCGCTGCCGCCGCCGCCATCATCACCTTCCTCAAGAATAGTGGCAATATTCTTGATCTTGATCATCCATTGACAGCCGAAGCAATGCGTGCTGTGGTGCTCGGAGAGTGCCGTGCTCGCTCAGTAAGTCTGCACACCACACAGCAAGATTCGATAGCTGACTATACACAGAAGGGCAAGAAGCGTGCTGCTGAGGATGATGCCTAAAGGCCGAGGAAGAAAAGACCTGCCAAGCAGGTATAGAGGTGGCCACTGCCACTGCCACCTCCTCCTTCACCACCACCACCACTATCGCCACAGCAGCAGCAGCAGAGGGCACGCAGCTGGATGCTGAGATGGTAGACTATTTCGAGGCAGGCAAGGAGAAGGAAGATCAACGGGTTCCTAAGGGTTGGGGATGAGGAAAGGTTATGTTTTTGCTTCCTATATACATCAATACACACATCTTGGCCGTCTTCACCAAGTGCCTTTCGCAGTGAGATCCCAGCATTGACCATGCCATGTGAGAACAACGAAACAGTGCTGACGCCTTGGGAAAACCGAGTCAAGGTCCCCATGTCAGCGGTGCCAGGCGTTGTAGCAGAGCGTACTGCCGTCTTGGGGAGGCTGGACAGATGGCGCAACATCATGCCACAATGACATACAGAGCAAGGCAACATCCCTCTGACAGACACATGCCACTGTGTAGGACATCAACAAGGCGCGGACGCTCCATGTATAAGATCTGTATCTCACTGCAACGAAACAATAAGCATTCATGCCTGCTCAGCTATAAGTACACCTTGCCTGGTAGCAGGCACCTCTCCAGTTATCGGTTTGCCACCACTGCCCACCTCTTGTTCTCGAGCATGTGATACTCTGGTTAACCCTCCTATGTCTCCTTGACGTTCTCGTCATCGCCGACTTGCCAGATACATGCTATGAGGATTGTTCAGCAGATGCTTGTGAGAACGGATTGTGAGAACGGATTGTGAGAACGGATTGTGAGAACGGATTGTGAGAACGGATTGTGAGAACGGATTGTGAGAACGGATTGTGAGAACGGATTGTGAGAACGAAGGGATTGTTGTGCACAGGACAGCTTGTGAAGATGCGGCAGATCGCTATCTCACTCGAGGTGAGGCTATTGCAGACGCGAGTTCTTCGGGATGGTCAATCTTGTCGCAAAGAGTGTATGTCGAGACTGGAACCGGATGGAGTCGCCCTGCTCGACTCGAGAGCAGCAGCAGCAGCGACAGTGGCGGTGGGAGGACTTTGTTCGGCAGACTTTACATTACCTGCCAAGCACACGAGCAGTATCGTCTGCCATACTTTCTACCAATGGTATGTCGCTAGTAAGCAGGAGGAATAGGCGGGATCTGATCTGTTATGATCAAGTTAGTAGTGTAAGAGGATGGTAAGTGTTCGTATGCTCACCGACGAACCTTGTGGTTGGAGCGACTCTCCCTTCTTGTCTGATCTGATGTGCAGGAAATATGCTTGCTAGCAAGATCGCAAATACTTGCACCATACGCATTCCTGCGAGATCTGTGAATTCACAATTCGTCTGAGACAAACGAGTTGATCGTTGTTAAGTCGGTAATAGTGCGAAGACGCACGGCTAGCAACAAGACGTTGATCCCAACAAATACCAGTGCTATTCGTGTGCGACCGGTGCCTGGCGCAGATAATGAATGTACCAGTCTCTTCAACTATGGCGCCAATGGTCCTGTTGCGTGCACAGGATCCATCTCAGCTGCAATTCCAGCCTCAGCCATGGATCCAGTAAGCAGGAGTAGCGATACCGATCGTCATCATGAGATGAAGAATAATCTCATGCTGACTTGACACTGTGCTAACGTGTTAGTCATACCGTCGTTTAGTGTACTTCTTGAGACCATCGATATGGCCGCTATCACAAGGATGCGCGCTCGATGACAAGAATGGCGCATGGCAGGTGAAAGCGAACAGTTAAGCGGCTCAATTGGCATTGCGCGTGGCGGTCCCAATAACAATTAGGCGTAACGACGTGGTGAACAAGACTGGAGTCAGCAGAAAGAGATGAGGTCAGAGGCCTAGCCGCAAAGCTCGGCTACGCGCACATGGAGGGTTTGCCGCAGACAACAACGTCATGTCATCGACATCGACATCGCACGATAGAACGACAGAGCACCTATGAGGACACATCCGGCAGTTCCTGACAGTGCTTGATCACCACCATGTGTCTGCCATTGGACGCGCAGTCCTCGTGGGCGCTATCTGCTCGCACAACAAAGACTTCGTCCTAGCCTCATCGCTTGCTTTTGGTACACGGCTTAGTAAAAGATCGAGAAGGTTGCCGTAAGAAAGCCTTCCATCCGTAGGGCAGGCTCTTCTATTCTGTCATCTACATAGCCTGCTCCTCTTCACTCGCTTCTTCCCTGCCGTTCTGCATCTCACTCTCACGTCTACAGGCACATCATCATTACCCGACATCATCCGTCGAGACAAATTTCACCATTCTCCACCAGCGCCGCGACCGGCCTTACTAGACGACGAGAGCCTCAACGACCCAAAACCGCCTCCATCCGTTGTGATTTTCACACGACACGCGACACTTACGACCATTAGCAAGGAGAACCGTACGGCTGGGCTTGCTGCGTTGCGTGTAGACCTTTGTCTCCTGCGTCGCAAGCCTGCGTCTGGCTATTGCACACAGTCATGTCAACGGCGATCCCAGTCCTCGAGGACTACGACGTCTCGCCTACCAATGGCTTCCTGCCAACCGCACCACCACTCGAGAGTCTGTCAGACGACTACTTCCAGCCATGGGAACATATTGTACGGAACCTGCAAGGCTTGATCCTGAGTAAGAGATTGCGAGGCACGGTCAATGCTATGCCAGTGTTGTCCACTGCCACATTGAAATCGGAAGCAGAGTGGCGACGAGCATATTGTATACTAGCATTCATGACACATGCATACATCTGGGCTGAAGACAAGCCTGCAGAAAGAGTACCTCCATCGATAAGTGTACCGTTCCTGGCCACTTGCAAGCACCTCGAAGTGCCTTCAGTCGCGACATACGCCAGTGTCGTCCTTTGGAACTGGAAACCTTTATTTGAGGCCGAGCGGACAGATACTCTGGCCAACCTGGATGCCATCCATACCTTCACTGGTTCTATGGATGAGAAGTGGTTCTACCTGATATCGGTCGCCATCGAAGCAAGGGGCGCAGCAGCCATCCCGCTCATGCTGTCTGCGATCGAGTCGGTTCGTCAAGGTGACATCGCAGCAGTAACTAAAGCTCTTCGGGCTTTTGCCGAACGGCTTGATGAGCTAGGCGCGCTCCTCTCGCAGATGTACGAGCACTGCGATCCGTATGTCTTCTACAATCGCATTCGTCCTTTCCTAGCAGGCAGCAAGAACATGGCCGACGCTGGCCTACCTAATGGTGTCATCTTCGATAACGGAGGACCTATGCACAAGCAGCGATACGTGCAGTATTCTGGCGGCAGCAATGCTCAGAGCAGCATCTTTCAGTTCTTCGATGTGGTGCTTAGTGTGCAGCACCGCCCGACTGGCGAAAGGGCAGATGCAGAGACGATGAAAAAGCGAGCCCCGCCGCCGAATTTCATCCATGAAATGCGCAAATACATGCCAGGACCACACGCAAGGTTCCTTGCACAGGTGGAGAAGATCGCAAATATCCGTGCATTCGTTGAGTCACACTCCAAGGATACAGCTCTGACTTTGGCTTATGATGCTGCTCTAGCAATGCTGAGCGCTCTACGTGACAAGCACATTCAGATCGTCAGCAGGTATATCATCGTACAGTCTAAGAAGGCAAAAGATGGAACCTCGATAACAAAGAAGATCAATCTGGCCAGTCGGCCGAAGGACGACAAGAAGAGCCTCAAGGGTACTGGCGGTAGCAGTCTCATTCCGTTCCTTCGACAAGCGCGAGACGAAACCGCTGAGCCAGCTATCGCAGACTGGGCCAAAAGACTTCTCAGCAAGGAAAAAGGTCCAGCCGGTGTCAAACTGGCAGTGATTGAGAAGCAGGCAGAGCACGTACCCAACTGTAAGGGACTCTCCGGAGACTGGACGGTTGATGAGCAGGGTGGACTCTGCTATGCATGATGAATGACGATATTCCACAAAAGGATACATTTAGAGGGCGGCTACCTACGCAGAGTATACCTCCAGCGATTGAGCGATGGCACGACGACTTTGCCGATCTTGTTGCAACCACCCACTGGCGTTGAATGCAACTGCAGCTGGCCCGGATACCGACTTCAAGAGTAGACTCAGTGACTGAGTGGTGGTATGACGACTCGAAAGGACACTGCTGAAGCCGTCGTCCTGCGGCTCCTGGTGTTGTCTTCGAGAATGGCTGTACAAGATAGCTCATGACGGTAGTGTCATAGTATCTACTATCATTTCTTCGAACCTTCTCTCGCTCCGCTTTGTCAAGCTGGACGTCACCTGTAGTACGTTCTACATTCCTATAAGGTCCAAATCGAAACTGTCTATGATAGTAAGTTCCTGTGCTTCCTTTGTGTGTCCTCGTCTGATCTCTTTCTTATCCTGAGCTCTGTGTGCCTTCATGTCATCGTCACGGTCTCCAGTATGTCGTCCCGACTTCAATTCGGACTTCGATGGATGATTACAGGCCCAATACTTGCCGAGAAGACTCGAAAACTTGCAGTCACATCTATCAGGTCATCATCGATCGTCTGAGCCGCTTGGTTCATGGTGTCCACCCCCGGACCGAATTCGGTGGTCACAAAAGGCTTGGCACTGCTTTTTGGCTGCTTCCGGCACCCTACAGCCACCCAGTCAGACTGTGCAGCCGAGGCTCTCACTGGAGATTGCTCTGACTGTCCTCTATGAGCCATGAGGCCCCCAGCTCCATCATTCCTTCCTCCGTGGCGCAATTGGCTAGCGCGGTATGTGGTTCTCTCGATCATTATGGCTCATGGACTAATCCCTTTCAAGTCAGACTGTTATCCCACGGTGCATCTGGAGGCTGTCAGTTCAATCCTGACCGGAGGAGTGTTGCCGCCGTCTGTGGCGGTTTATTTTTCGATTTTTGTTGACTTTTGGGGATTTGGAGCCATATCAACACTCGGCACCGCAAATCTGGAGATACGACATCGTCATTACTACCAGCAGCATCGCCACGTCAAGGGCTATCGATTGGTATACATATCATGTCGTTGACATGTTCGTAGCCCATACTACACCCTGGTTTGGGTCGTCAGCTCGTCGGCCGATAGCTCGGAATTTCGGCTGGACGCTCCGACATTGAAGGCATCACGGTCGTTCCGAACGGCGTCTAACAATACACGGTACAGTTCGTCAATCAGCAGGGAGACATACTGCATTGTCTGTCTATATCATTGCTAATGCCCAACAGCTGATACTCTGGCTCGTTCAAGCAAGAAGACGGTCGTCAATCTGTAGCCATAACCGGGACTGACTGTGGCATGATACCGTTAGCCATGACTCTAGCAGCAACCTGACGTCTCTGTAGCGGCAAGCAGCATGGTATGACTGTCAACCGTCCAGAGAAGCTGTAGATGATCCCAGCAACACTCCCCGAGTCTAGCACGCTCAGACATGCCATGAACCACTCTCGCTAAGCTCTGCAGGTCACAGCTGCTCCTACACCAAGACTCCTCCAGCACTAGAACACGAAGCTGCAGCTCCTGAAGATGCGGTCCTAATAGTGCTTGTAGATCTAAAGCGGTTAACAGAATCACATAGGTAGCATACCAGACTTACGTTGTGGTTACGGTCGTTGAGATCGTGGTGATGTGGAACAGCACGTACAACGTCTGCGTCACAGTAGTGCTCTCAGCCGTCACAGTCGAAGTGACATACACAGGCTGAGGTGTAACGGTGATCGTGGGAGCATCGGGAGCTCGCTTTGCAAGCTTCAACGCTGCCCTGCGCGCCTCGACAAAGGCAGCTTTGGTTTCCTCGTTGACCGTTCGACCTTCCAGCAATTCTCTCTTGAACTTGGCAAGAGCCGGCAGAGGCGTTGGCTCCGAACGTTTTCTGCCGCCATTGATCACACTGGACGCAACAGCATTCAGCTCGCCTAAGACCGAGGGAATCAGCGAAGCTAATGGATCCTTGATCGACGATGTAGGAGTCGTTGAGCATGAAGCGGGAACGACAGTCGTTGTCGATGCTGTCACTGTCAGTCGAACACTGTCCGTGAATTCGAGAATGCCTTTCGTGATGACAGTCGAAGCAGGTGGTGGAATGATTGTCGTTGTGCCTGCAGATCCGCCGGTAATCGTAGGTGTAGCAGCTGTCAAGGTTTGCTGTGGGCCAACAATCAAGGAGAAGTCCCTCTGGTAGGCGATTGGATCCCCATTACCATTGTTGGAAACCACAATGAGCGACCACTCCCCAGTATAGAGCTGATTCTTAGGCCACTGACTGCAAGTGATCAATTGCGGTACGTCGTCTGGTGTGAGCGCCGTCTCGGAGCACTCAGACTGATCGCCTTGTGGATCGACGAAGACGTTATGTGCGGTATCGTTCTGGCAACCTTCAAACTCTTCCAAGGCTGTAAAAGGATCTGTGGAGAGCGAGTTCTGGAAGTATGTACCACCGTTCTGAAAGTCTATGCCGTACGACTCGCATACGCAGAGTACCAGGGGTGTGATGCATGCAAGAACGAATGTAATTCTTTGAACAATCATGGCTCTCGAAGAAGACGTTGGATGAAGAACGAGCTCAGAACAAACTCAAGGGACCTTATGAAATGCCATGGCTACTCACCTCAGTCTAGCAAACTAGCTTGAGACGCCATGAGCGTTGCAGGGAGAGATCGGTATGATGACCTGTCCAATGCTGATCCTGGTGCTCCATGTCCTCGGCCAAAACCCGTTGTGTCACGGAGAACCTCTTATTGAATTGCTAGCTGCATATGAGGCTGCATCGGAGCAAGGATGTAGGCCGATCGAAAAGCTTCATAAGTCGCCGGATCAAGCAGACACCGCGACACAGATGAAAATAGACGCAAAGACAATGTTGAAATGCAGACGCGGCTCAGAGGTTGTCACAATGAACTGGTGGGCTTCATCTTCCGTCTTTTATGCTATAGTGGCCGGATGGTGGCACACTAGATCTTGCTTTGGTCGTACGCGACAGTGGACTGTATTGGTGTGCTCTTGCAGTAAACCGCGGTTGCGGAGTGAAAAGTGTATCGAAGCATTGAGGACGATCTCTAGCTGAACAAAGAATTGCAAGCCAACTCAATACCCTGTCAAAGAGGCGTCCTCGTCTCCACCTTTGACGTCGAGATGCATTCATTCTGACAGTGCTGGACCAGGGTGCAATTTCACCGAAGTGCCTTCGTGGGTGTAGGTGCTGTCAATTGTGAGCAGCACACAACCAGCTCAAGCACTTAGGACAACATTGAAGTGCTGCTACGCCAAGTTAGTGAGCCACGAAAACTTTTCGCCATGCTCCAGAATGGAGATACGAGCGTCCAGCACATGTCTAGCAGTCTTCAGGAGTGAGTGCTTGCCTGGAACGTCCAGTAGCAAAAGTCTGAAGCCATCTGGTAAGCTGCGATGAGTCAGCATTTTGACTTCACTCCAAGCTCTCTGTGGTGCTACGGCACACGTCGTAGCTCGTACATCATCGACAACAACCACCAAATAGGCGCAAAACACTCCAGCTCTAGATGTCTGCGCTCTCACTACAGTACGACACACACAGGCGGCTGGGAAGCTAACCATGGATTCCACCACAGGACAGAATGCTAGTACGAGTCCACCATCACACAAGCGTCAACGAGCAAAGCAAGCTTGTGAGCCATGTAGACTGCGAAAGCGACGTTGCGATGGCGAAATGCCTTGCAACATGTGCGTCAAGTTCGAGTACAAATGCTACTTTGAGAAGCACTCACGCAAGCGATCTAAGATTGTCGAGAAAGATGCTGCTGAGAACGGCTTCACAACGCCTGCGCAGTACAATGACTTCGGCTCTACAGGCGTGGCCAAACCAGGCTTGGATCCCAAACCAGAGAGAGCTGCACCAGAGGAGATTTCGAAGCTGCGCTCAATGGAAGCCAACTCTGGCATTGCTTTCACACGACTACTAGGCATGCGACTCGATGCGACTGCAGGACCGAAGCTCTTTACATTTGGCTGGAATCTAGGTGCAACACCAAGGTCGCTGACTCAGATACCATCTATCACAACCTACCTTGACCTCAATCAATTGCTCACCATGGCACGAGTCTACTTCGAGCATGTACATCCACTTTACGGCTTCCTGGACAAGGACTGGGTCATGTCACAGATCATGGTGCGCTTTACCAAGACCGAACAGCTGCAGTACTGCCCGGATCATATCTTTGCTGGAATAGCCGTGCTTGGAGCTCAGTTTGCGCCAGGTGTCATCGATAGTGTAGTGCCTGCATTGGTAGAGGCAGCCAAGCTTTCCTTAGAGAGCACAAGCACATGTCAGCCACCCACACTCTCCGATGTGCAAGCTTGGCTCTTACGTGTGATCTACCTGCGGTGCTCGGGACAGTAAGTAGACCTGACCACAAGTACAAAGCTAATTGCGGTAGTCCTCACTCATGCTGGATCGCTAGCAACCTCACAATGCATCTCATCGAATGTATGGGACTACATCAAGAACTGAGTGCGTCCATCATCTACGCTTTACCGCAAGAACCCAAAGACGACCCGGAGTTACGGCGCCGCTCGTTCTGGATCGGCCGCATGTTCAATACATGGGTCTCATTTGAGTATGGTCGAAGTCGTGTGGCATTACGAGGCATTACCTGTCATCTGCCAGAGCGGCGGGAAGGAGACTTCACCCGAGAGTACATCAGCTTGTACAGCATATCTTGTTGTCTTGACCCGGAACTACTTGACAAGCCAGGACAATGGGAAGACTTCCTTCACCAACTCGAGAGCTTCGAAGCACGACATGAATGCATGCAACTATCGAAGGCGAACCTCGGACTCTGTGCATACCGCCGTTTACGTCTTGCAAATCCCAACCTCCCTAGCGACATCATCAATCGTATCATCAATCTGGCTCGTGCTGGACTACAGGCGGCAAAGACACTTGCAAGTCGATCGATGCCTTGGTGGCACGTCGCCAACGTTCCGTTCCAATCAATATGTGTCTTCCTGGCTATTGACAGCAAGGAATCCCTCTCACATATCGCTCCAGCAATGCGAACACTCGAGTACGTAGCTGAGCGCTTTCCTTCACCATCAATCCGAGAGGCATTGAAGAACGCCAGATCCTTGATCAAGCTTTCAAAGCGGAAGAAGGACGAGGACTCTGAAGTGCTGAGTCATAGTCTGCTCACTGAAGTATCGAATCATGGTCAACGAGCGCCACGACCTGCACAACCAGCACCTCTCACTACGTACGTTGGACCTATGCAGGAGCACGATGGAAGTCCTCCGACAGCTAGCAGCTCGGAAGAATGGAACCTGGATTACCTCAACAACTCAGATTTTGACTGGAATGTCTTCTTAGGCCAAGACATACCGGCCTTTCACAACCTTGCACCCGATGGCATGATGTAGCCGGCAGATTACGACACGCCGGCGGAGAGCGAGTCATGACGAAGGACACGACAGGAGAGTATAACACTCAAGGATGCGCAGTATAGCCTACTGCACCGGGAGTGAGATGGACGGGACCAGACAAGCATGGACTACGTAGGACTCTACTCTGCAAGCTTTCCCGTCCTATTCTTGTACTGCCTGGGAGTCTCGACAGCAGACTTCTTCTGACCAAGTATCCTTCCAATGATACCAGGCTCTTGCCACATACCCAGCTTTCTCGCCTTCGCATGGGCCTCAGCATCACGATATTGCTGTTCTTTTTGACCAAATTCGCTACCGAACTTGGCCTCATAGACAGTCGCCAGACCTTGCTTCAGCATCTGATGTCCAACATCTGCATTGAACAGCAGCCATCTCTTACGCCGTGCTGCCGCGACTACACGCTCGTATTGATCCTTCCGATATGGGTATATCCTGACATAGCGATGTAGCA